AAGCTGTAAGTAAAAAATTAATTGAAATTTAGAAATAAATTCACACTTCAAATATTCCATTCAATCGATTAGAAAAACATATGATTCTAATCAAATGTTATTTCTTTATATTTTCTATGATGATTATTCTTCAAGAATAAATGTTTATTTTACTTGAGTTTTTCGAACTAATCAATATCTACTTAAAGATAAATTAAAACGATCTGAAACTTTTCTAGATTCAAATATTGATTAAATAAGCATATCTTTGAGCTTAAGCATCTCTTTTTTTTTTGTACTATTGACAAGAGTAAAACATGAGATATCAATTTATATTCAATCTTCAGGAAGGCTTTTTTAATGAATTATATACTATTAAAACTGACTTTAATCGATTCTTAAGATATTTAAACTAAACTTGGAGGAACGATACGCCGGACATGATAGAAGATCCATAGTCTTTTATTACGACAAAGAGTTTACTACGTTTATTTATATTTTAAAGTCATATCAATGTTGAAATTTATAAAAAACAAATATCTGCAAACAAGGCGTCTATAAACTTAGTTTTAACTTCGAAAAAACTATTAACTTTCTTTTTAGGTTCAAGATCAACTTGAACGTGTTTGTAAATTCAATTGTACATTACGTCAAAAGAATACATTTTCTACTAATCAAACTCAACGATTAATGGTCGAAAAATTGGATTTAGAAGTTCAACTTAAAGAAAAAGAAAATTTTATAAATCATATGAAAGATCGTGTTACTGATGAACTTACTAGTCCAACATCACCTATAGTGAGTTTTGAGGAGAAAAAAAAAATGAGAAGATAAAAAGTTTTTTTTTTCTTTTGTTAGAATCCAATAAATGATTTTACAACACTTGAAGCTAATCAACCACGATTTTCATTTGAAGAATTACGACAATTATTATGGGAACGAAATGATTTAAAAACAAAATTAATGGAAGTTGAAGAAGAATTACGATTATTTAAAGAACAGTAATGATCATGAATATATCTGTTTTTATAAGATTAACTCTTGCTTTCCTTTTTTTTTTCTATAGAGAAGATGATAATAATGGCGCTGTCGAGGGTCCAATTCCATTAGAACCTGATGAAAAATTATATGGTCATAAACGTGATGTATCAAAAATTCGTCAATTGTAAGTTAATTATTTAATGTTGTATTTTATTTTCATATATTATTCGTAGCATGTCTCTATTTGTATATATGTTCCATTTATTTTCAGTATAAAATTTTTTTTATTCTCTCCTATTATTGTTTGCTTTGCATTTGTCTCACTGTGGTAAGCTTTTGACATAAGTGAATTAAATGCCATGCTTGTATACATGTACTGATTTATTTGCTTTCTTTTTATTTTTCGCCTTCGTTCTGCATGAAATTTTTGCATTATCATGAATTGAGGAAATTTTCATGTTTTATTTTTGCATACTATCGTCTATTCGCCTGAAGCTAGTAGTCGAATGTCTAACACCTATTTCATTACTAACAACTTGAGTTTTGCTTGAAGTGCTTTTGTTGCATTGTTTTGTTTATTTGTTTTCAGCTTAAATTCATTGTTTCCATCAATTCAACCATCATCATCATCATTTAAAAAAAAGACTCCAGTTAACTTATTAGCAACTCCATCGACACCGATAAGATCAAATGTAACTTCTGGTCGATCTTATTCAACATTTTCTTTGCCATCTGTCGAACCGAAACCTCCATGATTATAACGAATTTCGATTGAAAGTTTTTTTGTAAATACTAATCTAAAAACAAAGATTCCATTGCTTTTATCACTATCATCACAATGCAAAAACAAAACAAAATCAGATCATTCATGCTTATTCTTTCCATATTTTGTTTGTTATTTTTCTATGATTTATTTATTATTTTGATGTTGTTTTTTTTTTGTTATATTTGCAATACGTCCAATATGAATATTGTATCCTTGTTAAAATGTCTTATGAAAATTTTTCTTTTTCTTTTATGTATTTAGTTTTCGATTTGTCTTTGGTGATTATCCAACAACGGCAACTGGAGTCGATATACCTAGCAATGCAAAAAAATTTCCATTTATTACCGATGTTCTCAGATAAAATTATACAAAATCAAATGCTTTCTTAATACTATTTTTTTTTTGTTTGTATTTCTGTCGAACAGTGTATAGAAAAAAAAGAATCATTAATAATCACTTATGTATCCGACAAAATAATTTAAAAAAAAAACAATTACAATATCAAAAAAAAAAAAATGAATATTTAAAAAAAAAGAATAATAAATTATATTAATATATGTTTTTTTTCGCTAGTCATATATTTTTATTCCTAGCTTTTTGCATTGTTGTTGTTATTATTCCCATTTACAAATAAATTTATGCAATATATTTTAATTAAATATGATTATTTACTATTCTGTAATGAAATGGTTTGTTATTTATCTCATCTCGATACTTAAGATAGATATGTAGAGGTAATGACGGCTACTGGAATTTATCTTTTGAAAATTTATTCACTGATAGTATATAATATACTTTACCTGTACTAGGAAAGATCGCGTAGTTCGGAATAGTCAAATAGTTCTTCATCCTAGGTTTTTTTTCTCGTAGTTTCCTGAATTCCTTCCTTACACAATTAAAATCAATATCAAGATTTATAGGAAAAAACACACGAAACTTCTGAAGAAAAAAAATTTCAGATGCTATTGAATTTCTGAGGTTCAAATAAAGCCTTTGGTTAATAAAAGAAAAGTATCATAATATCTATAACTTAGATATCCAGATTCTAAACATATGTATTGTGATATTCATCAAATGCATTCCTGCTCAGATCAAATCCATCCTATTGGATCCGACGAAATCCGATGGTATCAAAGTGTTTATTCTTTTTGCTTTTTGTGATTATTAGACAGCATGTGAAATATATTTGTTATACTTTTTATGACGACACGAAGTCGTTGTTCTCTAACTCCTACGTCAATCAGCCACGTTTCGAAACGAGTGTTTATGATGAGAAAAGAGAGCTATACAAGTCAATGAACAGTAAGTAGTAATTATTTATTTGATTTTATTTTAAATTTATTATTCAATAATTGAATGTACTAATAAATTAAAATAAACTAGATTTAATCTGTTAATTTGTAGTTAATTGTACGAGAGGAAAGAAGTAGGAGGGAAAGTCAAACAATCTTTAATGTTCAGATAAAAAATCAAGAGAATTTCATCGGATTTTGAGTGTTTCCGACATTTTCTAACCATCGGATTCGACATCTTCCGATAGGATTCTTTGGGGAATAGATGAAATTTTCTTCATTAAGATGTTTGAAAGCCTGTACAATCCGTGAAATAGTATTGCTTATTTCAAATAAATAAGTAGTTTTCTATATTTCTCACAACTATTAGAAATGATGACACAAGCTTAATATACTCTTAGAATTATAAATAAGACTTTATATCTTATGATCCAATATAACGACGTTTTGTTCTATAAAGCAAAGCGATGATGTAGATAATCTAATAAAGCATTAGAGGTCGTGTGATAACATCTTCGTCGATGACAAATATTATACAATTAATGAGGGATAGTTATATTCTAATTAGGCATGCACAGAATCGGAACATTTGGATTTGTTTTTAACTGCGTTCATTTTCAATCAATTAATAAAACACAAGTAGAAGTAAGTCACAAGAGACGATTCAAGACTTGACTATGGTAGATCTATACACAACGGAATAATTTATTCAAAAACCGAAGGGTCTACAGACATACTAAAAAAAGTCAACAATGTTTAGAAATATTCGAGTCCGAACTCAATCAAATCTTAGAGTGCTTTCGTGATTGTCTATATACTCCAAGAAATGCTTGAGCAAGCATCCAAATATTCAACACTGTCTGAACTGATTGAACAGTTTCCGAACTCGAACATCGAGCCAGAGTTCAGGTTTCGTGCATGTCTAATTCTGATCAAATTAATCTCTTTTTTCGAAATTACATCAGAACTATTTGTTTTTTCTCACATAACTCGTAAATTATTTTAAATCTTATAAAAAATATTTCGTTTTCATTAGAAGAAGTTCTTTCATAGGAATTTCATTGAAATCTTATTATCTAATGTTGACCGAGTACAATGTAATCTAATGTTATTTATACTAATAGGCATCAAATTTTGCGGTTAAAGAAAGTTAATAAATAACATTATTTTTCTATCATCAAATACTTTTTTAATATCTTATAGATTTCTATGATTATCGAAATCCTATTCATAAATATAATCCATTGAAATTAATCTTTCTATTTTATTTATAAAAAAAGAAGCCAAGAAGACCAAAAAAAAATACGAATATATAAGATAACTCGATAAATAAAGAAAAAAAAATCCTCCATTGTTAAAAAATTTTTTTTTTCTTATTTTTCTATCATCTTTAAAATCATCACTGAATGGTAATGTTTCTCGCACAAATAATCACTCGGGATGATAAAGTATGAAGAAAAAAAAAAAGAACAAGCGATAGAAAAACGAATAAAGAAAAACAAAAGAACTCTAAAGAAGATGTCATGAAAAGCAATTTATGAATACAAGCATGAATAAAATAATATATAAATTACACTGAACCAGCAGTAAAATGAATAACAAGACGTATTCCAAAAGAAAAAAAAATCACACATATTTGGAATGTTTTTAATTACGAATGTCGAAAGAACTAAATAAATAAATAAATTTAAAAATAAATTTTTTTATTTTAACATACTGAAAACCATCCAGATGATTTCATTTCTGGTTGTAGAGCTAATCTTGGCATTACTAAATTTGGATTTAATGCTTCAACAAATTCATCTTCCATATCATCATCTTTAGTCATGTCATCAACCATATCAGTAACTAATTCAATATCATCAAGTTCTCGACTATCCGAAAATGTACTAGCTTCACCTAATGGTCCATCAAATCGTTCATGAGCTGGTAAACTATTTAATGTACCCATCATATTAGCCATTTGTGGTCGTGGTATTTGACCTTTTGATAAAGGTATACGATTTTCTAATTCATCAAATATACCAAAATCTGCTTCTGGACGATTTCCAGTTGCACGATATGTTGTATTATATGTTGTATTTGTACTTGATGGTAATGAATCTGATGCATCAACATATGGTTCATCATGTGTATTATCAAGACTAAAATCATCTAAACGATTTAAATCTCGGTTACCAGTACCCATTGTTGGAATATGTGCACGAGGTATTGTAAATTGTTGACGAGTCGATGGTAATTCTGGCTTTGTAGATGGTATATTTCTTTGTTTTATGATAAAAAATATACACATAGCAATAGAAATTATTAATAGAAGACCAGCTACAGCACTGATAACGGCAATAATAATTGTCCAATTTCTATCTGATAATACTGGTGTTGGAGCAACAGTTGTTGCAGAAACAATTCGGCAAAAATCTCCTTCAAAACCAGTATAACATTGACAACCGCTGTTATTTGAATAACAACGACCTCTATCCGAAAATTCACATTCATCACAAGGTACTAGACGCCTTGTGATATTAACTAAAAATAACGAAAACTAAAAAAGTGATGTTTCTTTTGTTGTTTCTTACACAGTCTATTTGATGATGGATCCATAATCATTTGTATCAAACGTGTTGTGTGATCATCATCATAGATACGTTCTTCATCGAATACTTTATTTGCAAACTCTATTCGTTGTGAAATACTCATTGGAGCGTCTATCGTAACCATAATTTGAAGTTCTGGCGGTACAAGACTCCTATTTATTAATATTAATTTTCTTTTTGAATCAATCAATCAATCAAACTTACTGTGTATCATATATAGTTATACATGATCCATTACATGTTATATTCATATTAAATAAAAAGTCGGCTATCTATAATCAAATGATATATTACAATGAAACAAAAAATAAAATCAGTTAAATATTACTCTATTTGTTATCCTAGTTGAATTTGGTGCTCTGATAATTACGGTACGACTTCTTGGATTATAGATTAAATTTATTATTAACCAAGTTTGACCTATAATTAATGAATTTTATTTAATCAATAAATCATTATCAAAAAAAAAGAAAACATTTCTTTTTTACCAGTTGCATTAATACAGTCAGTTCCATTATAATAAGCAAATGGATGACCTGGACATTGACATGTTTGTTGAGTATCATTCAAAGCATAAACAACAAGATTATAGTTCGATGATGGACATACACATTGACCTGTTGTTGAACTACAAATAGCAGGTTTCATACATTGATTTGCACAAAGTGCTGAATAATTTGTTAATAAACATGAACTGTTTGAATTTCGAGCATTTCCATATTGTTGAGTATAATCACCTTAAGAAATTATTTTATTTATTTGTATTAAAATTTCTATATAAACATACCTCCTAACGAATAATTAAAACTACATCGACATTCATATGAACCTGGAGTATTAGCACAATATGTATTACTATAGTTTGAACAGATTGTCTGACTCATATTACATTCATTTACATCGAAACATGAACCATCAATAGACTAAAGAATAAATCTTTTTGAAAAGAAAAACAAAAAAAAATCAATATTCATCAAACCTGATAACCATCTAAACAATCACATGTATAATTTCCAATAGTATTATTACAACGTGAAATATCGTCAACACAAAAATCTAGTTGGTCAATACATTCATTGACATCTATGTATAAAAATAAATTCAAAAAATAAAAAATAAAAAATTCTAATTATTATTTATACATACCTGTACAATTACTCATTGGCGTAATTCTCTGATAACCATTCTTACAACTACACGTAGCATTTCCACTTGAAGGATCTGTTACACAGTCTTCTGTAGCATTATTACATATGTTGTTACGTGCTAAAAAAAAACAAAAGATTTATTTTGAAATTTAATAAGTAAAACATATCATAGACAAAACATAAATATTAGTCATTTATCTTAATTTATTATTAAGATTTTTATTTCGAGTGAAGATAAGAAAATTTGTAAGAAGTTCTTGACATAATACAGAATGACATTGTTGAAGATTGGATCAATATGTCAAACAAGATTTGTTTATTAACTATCAGATAAGAAGATTAGAGATGCGAGACGTACGGTCGGTACTAAGTTTCTTTTTTTGGGGCCTGGTTCCGATCTAGAGAAAACTATTTCAGAATTTATTTGTATCACTATTCAATACTCATATTTATTTGGGGTCACTTCTCTTGAATTATAAGATAATTTGCTTAAAACTATAGAATATTTTATTATAAACTTAGTTTTCAGTTCCCGCAAATCTTTTTTTTTCTCTTAATCCTGATCCCACACATTTCTAATCCATACTCTATATATATATATATAAGATAACTGATTGATGTTTCAAATTTCTCACATTAGACTCAATCATATATTTTATATTGTCCAAAAACTTTTACAATAAACTATTCTAGTTAAGATCAATCTCTATGCAAAATTTCCAATTGATCATATTTATTCGCACACGTTATTTTTCTTTTTGTTTTATTAAGAAAAAAAAAATTTAAATATGATGAATTATGTTGGTCGTAACAAATTTCTATTGTATTAAAAATGAAAGTAAACTCAAAAGAAAACTATATTTAATCTTTTCATTGAAGATTGAGATTTTCGATTAATTATTTTTCTTATTTCTATTGAATGATAATGATCATTAAAAGTATAATTTATACTTACCACACATGTCTATACTTCTATCACAAAATATTCCTTCATGTGTTCCATCACAGATACAACTTCCAGTTGGACTTGTTGCATTTGGATTGCAATCACCATATGTACAATTACATATTTGATTACAACCATAACCATAACTTAACTCATAACATGCTTTAAAAAAAAATTAAATATTTGAAATAAGAATAATAAAAAAAAATACGAATTTTTATTCATACGTAAACATTGTTTTCCATCATCAGAATGTCGATAACCAGGAAATTTCGAACAATTACATTGATAACTAATATTATTCACCATTTCACAAAAACCAGGACATGTTGAATTACACCAAGCTAAAATAATTATCAATTATAATTCATTTTCATCTATTCAGTTCTTTTTTTCTTTGTTTTTTATTCGATTAAAAAATCTACTTACGAACACAAGTATTATTTTCTTCGATCGTACCACGTAGACATAATATCATACCATTCAAACGGCAAGTATCACCATTACAAAGAGTTTCATTAACTAATAAAATAAATATTTATCAATTCAGATTTAAACAAAAAAAATCAATTTTACATACAAAGACAAGTTCCAGTTGTATTAAAAATAGGACTACATTGACATGTATAATTACCGTTTGTATTTATACAAGCATCAGTGACATTACAACGAACACCAAAAGTACCATCTACATTCGGTTCTCTGCATTCATTGATATCTTTAAAAAAAAGAAAGAAAATATATTGCTTATTATAATATTTATACAAAGAACTTACCAATACATGTTTGATTTTCAAATCGATAACCATTCGAACAATTACATGTAAATGTTCCAATAAGATTAATACATACACCATTTCCACATCGAGATGAATTCCGTTGGCATTCATCAATATCTAAAAATAAAATTATTATTACTTAAATTTTCTTCGAATATTAGAATCTGTTTTTCTTTGTTACCATCACATGTGTAACTATTAGTTGAGCTATATCCATTTTGACATGTACCATTGCAAGTATACGAACGATTTTGTGCTACTTGATCAGTAGCATTTAATGGATTACATATTGTTCCATTATTCCAATTAATTCTACATGCACTACCCGAATTGCAACCATTATATGGATTTTCACAAAAATCTCCTAAAAAAATGAAAACAATAATCTATAGAATTTATATTTAATTGCTGTACCCTCATATTGATCGGGACAACGACATGCAGCAAGTTCATAATTATCATTTATTCTCCTTGTCTCGCCATAATTACAATAACTAGTATTCGCACATAAACAAGCGATGATATTCAAATACTGTATCAATGTGGAATTTGTGCCATAACTAATAGTCAAACTATAAAAAAAAACAAAAGAAGAAACTTAGATTTTATGCTATTCTTCAAACGTTAATTTATATAAGAATCATTTATTAATTAAGACTTGTTAGATGTGTCGGAAATTATAAGATAGATATTATTTATTTTAAGAGTCACAATAGTTTTTTCTTTTTCTAGAAAACGAATCAGCCAAAGAAATTAATGGTAGGACAAAAGAGTTATCAATGAATTTAGAAAACGCCATTCTACTGTTTTACTGTGAAATAGAAATGTCCATCGTGGCTGGAAATCTGCTGCGGTCATAGAAGAGACAAGGCTCAGTGCCACTGTCGTCACGCGATCCTAGAAGGGACAAGGCTGCCGCGACGCGGTGAGCTATATAAAAAGTGGTCACTATCGCGATGGTTTTCAAGAAATTCTACGAAAATCTTTTCCGTCACTGTGCTAAATTAGTACAGTCGCATTGAATCCGTCAGACTCAATCTCGATTTTGACTGTTAAACTTGTAGACACTCAAATTGGGTGGAAATTCATCCAGGTTCACAATCTTAATAAAAAAAGAAACTGCCACTGCCACAGTAGTATGCTTGAAATATCTCTCGCGCCATCGCGGCAGCGCCACCATGGGCATCTCTAGTGTCTAAAAAAATCGTATATCGCCTCGAAACATAGTCAAACGCATGTGATACAGTTAAAGCGACATAATGCCACTTTGTAAATTCACTCACAGAAGATGTTGTGCCTTCCTGAACGCTCTCAAACTAACATTAATGTTTTGAGCTTGGAACCATTCATTATCATTTGTTTGAGAGGTGCAAGTTTTTTTTTTCTTTAATTACTTCTTCTCTTCTCACGTTTTGTCCTCTACCGCTGACTGGTCTGTATCTCTCGATTTTAAAAATAACAAAATTTTACTGAATTGAACTTCAAGTACATCATTGATTTTTTTCTGATACTGTGTGTCCAACAGACACCGAATTGCAACGAGTTTTACTAGCTCCAGTTCGGTCCGTTTTCAGTATCTGATATTCAATAATAACTAATGAGGAACTTGATTTGAAATCGAACATTATTATGTACCATTAGGTTTTTTCTTTTTATTCAATTTCAGTTAGAAATCTGTTATCTATCAAAATATAGAACTGTTACTTTTAATTTAACTATTCTTGATTATGCAAATGAAAAAGAAAAACTAATGTATTTATTAGACTTTGTAGAGTAATCTCATAGAAATATATTGAACATTCAAAATTACTTACAAAACTTGAACAAAACTAGTATAATTATTCGGAATTGGAATCATAATAGATGCACCATTAAAACTACTATTGGTCATGGAACCATTTTGAGAAATAGTTACAAGTGTACTTTTTGCATCAGTAACAGTAATTGGTAATGTATACATACGATTTAAATCATTATATGGTATTCCTATTTGAATAGTTGGAGATATACTGATAGTCGGCACTATTTCAGCTATATGAATTAAACAAAAAAAAAAAAGAAATCTTTTTCAAACTCATATTGTTAATTACCTAATATAATTCCTATTTGTTGAAATGAATTTAATGATGAAGCTGTTATACCACTACTTATTGGATTAATTCGAATTATATAATCATGACGACATTCAAAATTTGTTGAACATGTTCGATCAATTTCAGATTGATTAAGAAGTGAATTTAAACTTGCAAGTGTATTTGCATATTGATTATAATATGTATAAACTAAATACGAAGGCATAATTGGATTTGGCATATTCGGCGTTGTATCAGTAGATAATTTCCCTGAAAGAAAAAACCAAAAAAATAGTCTAATATAAAACATTTTTATTTCTCATATATATAAATATTACATGAAAGACAAGCTCGAAGAACTGATGTATCATTACTAATTGCTGTTCTATTAGTCGCAGATGATATAATAACTGTTTGATTTGTTTGTCGATTAACTAAATCATCACTATAATTTCCATTAAAATTACCAACTAAACCTTCAATATATGTTCGATATTTTCTTGGTAATGATAAAATACAATCAAGATTTTCACTAACAATTTGACATTGCATTGTAACACCTAAATTATATATATACATATTAGTATCATTTTTTTTTCGAAAAAATAAATTACATACCAGACCAAAGAGCAAATGTTAATTGAGCTACGGTTATACTTCCTAGAGATACAACTGTTTGTTGTACTCGATAAAAATATCGATCATTATAATTCATCGTATTTGCATTATCATAATTTAAATTATCTGCTAAACTTTCTGTAAGTGATAAACTAGATGAACCATTATTTGCAACAAAACCTAAGAAGAAAAAAAAAACGATAACATTGATGTGTGTGTGTGTGTTTTCTTTTTAATATATTTATTAGATAATTATCCTACCAAATTTTCCATTATTATTACTAATATTAAAAGTATAATTTCCAGCAACAACTGAATAACTAGAAAATAGCGAAGCAGAACCTTGTATTTGTATATAAGGTAAAGCTGCTGGTATAGATATAGAACGAACAGATATTTGAAATAAATCATCAGGATAGATAAGATTTTCATCGAATACACCACTGTTATTAAGATTAAATTGAGCTGTTGCATTAGCATTATTACTTGTTCGAGCAAATACATAAATACCTTGAATATGACATGTATATCGTCCATTATCAATTGTACTAATATGCGGGTCGCCATTACCAGAGACTAGAAGATTTTAACAATTTAAAGTAAAAAATGAATAGAATCACTTTTTATCTTTTTTACTCCTAGCAGGTGTTTGATATCCTGTACAAGTACTTGCTGGATGAAGTTGATAATAAAAATGACAGTTATTCTCATTTTGAGTTGCTCGAATGTTCCTTGATAAACAACATTGATCGCTAAGAAAAAAACAAGATAAATAATGAAAATTATTCGAATTAACAATGAAAGTTCTCGAAATGATAAATTATTTTTGATTCGAGCGTATATGTATTATGTAGATCTCAAGGAGTTATGAATACTCTGAAAGAAGTTCGTAGCCACGGAGACACTATACACATTTACGGTATTTTTTAAAAAAATATCGTAGTACCAGCAAACTGGTTTTCGAATTTCAACTTGAATCTTCGAATAGAGATAGGTCTTAATAAGAATAATTTTCTATGAATGTTTCAAGTCTTTTGATTTATTCCTATCTTGAACTACGAGACAAGATCTGAAATATTCATGTTAAGGCCTGTCGTTATGCAAAGTTTCAAGTCAAAATTCGAAAATCAGTTTTTCTTATCTTCTTCAGCAAGAACTATGGCATTTATTCAAAACAAAACCTATTAGCGTAATCTCTGTGGAATTAAAAAAATATGAAACATAATGTAACTGTCACTAATTACAAAAAGATTGCTTCGTTCTATTTATTTTGAGACATATTTCTTCATTATTCTTTTACTTAATCGTCCAAAAATACAATAAGGAAGTAGTTTATATATTATAATGAAACGTTATTGATATATGGTCTGTGATGTGCGGAGTGATGAGCATTATTAAAAGATATGTGTTACAGTCTATGACGTTTCTATGTGGGTAGCGGAAACTTCGTCTATATGACTTTCGCTAATGACGAGAGTCATGTGGACGTTGGCCAACACATCCTCAAGAATTTTATCAATAAGACTTTCGTCTATTGGCAAAATTTCGGAATCCCTTCTATGGTTGTGTCTATCACAATCTACAACAAAGGAGAGATCTTGCTAAGAGTTTCTGTCACATCTATGAAGGAAGGAGGTATCCAAAGTTCAACCTCTATACTTCAACACTCCGTTTAGATTATGTTTCACAAAATACCGTAAAAGTACAAAATCTTCGCAGTAATAAGCTAATGACACAACCTTTTTTCATGATATTTATAGCTCATTTTGGATCTATCTAATGCACATAGTGTTAACTTAAAAGCAATTTATTAGTTGGATGGTTTCCTTCGTAAGATAAATTGAGCTTACTGGAAGGCAATTCGTTTTAGCCAAGGATATGGTTGAAAAAGTATATTTGGATCGGAGAGTACTGAACCAGCAAGATCACCATACGTAATTAAACCTCCATTAAATTGATTATAACAACATGTCTAAAAATAAATATATATTCTCATCATTTACTCAGTTGAGAGAGAGAAAAACAATAAGTCTGATGTTTCTTTTTGAAAATATTATTTTAATTTTTTATTTACTTGTGATCTAAGTTGTTTCCAATAAAATGTAGTAGAAGTCCAAAAAGGAACCCAAATAGTCATTCGTGGTCCAAAACAAATAAGACCTTGTGATCTTTCGTAAGGAGTTTCACTAAATAATTGAACAAAACGATTATCGCCGAATGCTTGACCAATTGAACATGGACATGGAAATCGTGGATTATTTCTAGATGAAAAAATGAAATTGATTTCAATAAAAAAAAAAAAAGAGAATCTAATAAAATACATACACAACATCATTTAAATTGTTCGAAGGATTTAAGTTGTTGGAATTTGTTTCTTGTAAATAATATATTTCACATACACTTAACGAACGTCCTCCAACATAAAAAGTTTTTCGTGAAGATTGTGCTAAACAAAAAAAGTATTTATCTGTTTTTTGAAAATGTATATTTGATTTAATTCGAATAAATACTTAGAAATAACGCATTTTGATAAAAATATGGATCGTTAAAAATTTTAATCAAAGAACTTTTTCCACGATAACCTATATCATATTTTTTTAATTTAAATTAATCTATAAAATAGAATAGTTTACATACCAACAAAAGGTTTAAGATAACCTAGATTTCTTGATAGATTAGTATAATCAAATGCAAGATATGATCGAAGATTTGGATAACTATAAAAACCTACTTCATAAGTGTTTATCAGATATGCGGAAAATGACAAGCTCTGAAAAAAAAGTCAATCAGAAAGACACAGATAAAAACAAATATTCAACAATTGAATTTACTATAGGACTGCTAATGGCAGATGGACTGGAATAAAGATTTTTCCAACTGATTCGAACAACTCGAACTGCTGCAAAATTTGTCGAACAAATTTGTACTGGACATGATTCAGATACTGCCTGTTGAATAACAGCATTATAAACATTTGCATTTGTTTGATTAGCACTCAATGAATTATACCAGTCAATTGTGATGCTAGAATTGTTCTAAAAAAAAGAAAAATATATTTCCATTGATTATTGAAGAAAGATATATTGATATAATATGATTTACAGTATAATAATCAAGATCAGCCCAAAATGGAGCTGCAATTGCCTGATCGAATAGTTGAAAGAATGCAAAACGTGTCATTGTTCGACTGTAAAAAGGTAAACCGAAACTGATGTAACCTTTATTTGTAACCTATAAATAATTAACAATGATTTATTTTATGAAAATATACTTCTTGTTCATACCCAAATACGATTATAATGTTGTTCAAAAAAATACATTCTATCCGGTAATGCGTAAGAATTCATTCGCAAGGTTGGATCACGAATACTCGTTATCGGGATGACAGTAATAGCTAAATAACATAATACTAAATTTTGATTCATTCAGATGAATGAAAATACATACTTTCACAAGGTGGAGAAGCAGAACAAGATTCATTTTGTATTGCACTTTCGGTACCGCATGCAAGACTGCTACAATTCTGACCAGTTATCGAATTTACACATGATCGACTCGTCAATCGAAACGCTTCTCCACATGTAGCGGAGCAGGGACTGATTATAACCCGATCTGTCCACATGCAGACTGTAAAGAAATTTTTGCATCAAATAATATATTCAAAATCAAATCTATCACGTTACCTTGTGGTGCTGAGGTTGTAGTAGTTGAAATAGTCGTTGTTGTTGATGTGCTAGTTATAGTAGTCATTTGTGTTGTAGTAGCTATAACTATTGTTGATGCAGTAGTAAATGAGCTTGTACTAGTTATGGAGCTAGTTGTTTCTGTAGTCACCATCAAAGTCGAAATTTCGACTGTCACTGTTGTTGGACTGCTAATTACAGTTGTTTCTATTGCTGTAACACTTGTCGGTACATTACTCGAGCTTGCTGTTCCTTCACTGACAGTTAACGTTGAAACTATCTCTGTTACTGTTGTTGTTGTTATCACAGTCATGGGCGTGGATGTTGACACGGTCGTTCCTATGCCTGCCGTTGTTATTTCAACTGTTTCTGTCTGAATAGAGCTAGGAGTTGTAGTTGCAGTACTTGAACTGACAATTGTTGTACTTTGACCTGTTTGTGTTTCTGCTGTTGACAAGGTTATGGGAGTGGATGTTGCACTTTGTATAGATGATGTTTCTGTTGATGTTGTACTTGCTACTGTTTCCATTTCTGTTGTTATGATGGTTGTCGGAGTGATTCTTGTGCTAATAGTTTCTATTGTAGTTGAACCAGTAACTTGTGTTACTGTAACCTCTGTTGAAGATATGGCTTCTGTCGTTTGTGTTATTGTTGATCCAGCAGTTTCTGCCGTCATAGTTAATGTTGTACTTTCATATGTTTGAGTTGCTGCTGTTGTACTCGTTGTGATTGAGGCAGGCGAACTTGTTATTTCGACGGTTGCAGCTGATACCGTTGTTGTCGCTTCAATAGTCTGTTCTTGTGTTATTGATTCTGTCGTTGTACTCGCTGTGATCGAGACAGGTGAACTTGTTATTTCTACGGTTGCAGCTGATACTGTTGTTGTCGCTTCAATAGTCTGTTCTTGTGT